ATTACTTTCCTATTATGCTAAAGTTTCACTCTTTTGCAATAAAAAAAATATTGTGTGCATCACGAGACTAATACTTCTATCACGTGCTTTGCTAAATTTTCAACGCAACAGTCAAACAAATAATATAATACCACAAAAGTGTTCAAACCATCAATTGCAACTAATTGATAAATCAATATCCCCCACTCCCCCCACGTCCCTCTTTCCCCTAATACTATCCCATTTCCTGCACTGATATTTCTTTTATCCTCAGCAAACAAACAACTCTAACCATGTAGCAAATTACTGGTTTATATAGAACAGCACTTGCATATAGTATTATGTCCCACACTGTAGCAAATAGTAAAATTAAGAATACACTTATAATAGTATGTGTGTTGCACACTGTCAGAATTAGTATTCACAATAAGGATGCACTTATCAAGAGTATAGTGTCGTACATTATAATAATAATGCACATTTATATATAATATAGTGTTTAAGACCTTAGCAAATAACATTTAATTTAATAATGCACTTATCATAATATAATATTGCACACCGTACAAAATAATGCCCACATTAAGGGTCCACTTATCTATAATATTATATTGTGCACCATAGAAAATAATGCCCACATCAAGGGTGCACTTATTTATAGTATTATATCGCACACTATAGCAAATATTTAACTTAAGAATGCAATTATCATAGTATTGCATTGCACACTCTAAGAAATACTTTTAAGGATGCACTTATCTATAGTATAATGTTGCACACTATAGTAAATAATAATTAATTTAAGATTGCACTTGACACAGTACGGTAATGTAAATTATAAGAAATAATATTCACATTAAGAATGCACTTACCTATAGACTACAAAGTGCACATAGTATTATTTCATGCACCCTGACCATAGAGACCGATAAAGAATTATTATTAGTGCACAGCTTACATGTCTGTTCTCCCTCGAAGGAGGCTTAGGTTTAATGTAACTGATCCTCTTGCGTATCACTGCAAACCCCCAGTCCATCGTGGCTTACATTCCATACAATTTGCATAATAACTCTGCTTAACACCCTCGTTCAATTATTGCGCCTCATTTTCAGTCTGTGTGCACCTTATTGTATCTACTGTGTGTTACAGTATAGCACACTGTATACATTTCACTGTGAATAAACACTGATATAGTTCCTGAAACTTTCTGTGCAATGTCATATTAATTTCTGAAATGGTTACTCTGTGCTGTGGAACTGTCGATAATACAAAGGAGTACAGCAATCCATGGAACTAAAGCAGATTTCCAATATAATACTTTGTGACATCGCCACTACGACTTGTCAGAAACCACGAAGATTATGGATGACTTATAAAGATGAACATCAAGGAATGATTCTGGGACTATATATGATTTGTCTGAACGGGATCAGATTGTTGGATCAACAATGATACTGGTGATGGAAAAATATGGTTTGACGTTGACACGCACGAGTACCATTACCAAATTAATAATGAATATTGACAGTCATGACAACTGGACAACTTTTTATTCACTATTCATAGGATACGGTGATTGTCTGCTTTACTGTGTAATTAAATTGATTTAAATTGCATATATTTAGTGTGGAATTCGTGATTGTGTTTATGCACTTCCTTTGACACATTTGATTTATTTGTGTGTCGCTGACCCAACAGCGATTTAGTCTCGATTATCTCAGATTTATCAAGCTTAAAGCATGACAAGCATCAAATTATATTGACTGTTAAGAAATATATTTCAAACAAATAAATTGGCATTGATTATTTGAAAAAAAGTTGATTAGGTAGAATGCAATGTGATATGAGTGAAGAAAATGAAAATGAAAGTTGCCTACAAATATGTATAGTGCCACAATTAGCAATATAAAAAGGATATCTATTCCCTACAATGCAAATCCAAGTATGTTATTCTCTATCCTTTCTATGATAGTCACTTTTTACTCACCTACAAATGTATTGTTATTCGCAAATATTCAAATGTAAAAATAACACAAATAGATTTGTAATGTAGTGTAAAATATAGGTCATTATTGATTCCTTACCCCATAGCATTGGCCAATCGATATCATTGAGACGCTGTGTTTCTTGGTGCACATCATCCCCCCAGCGAAACAGGAAAATACCCAATGAATTCTTTATTCGATAATGCGCGAAACTACCTCAACTCGATATGCAACGTGAGCTTCCGTTTAGCGTAAAGACCCTCAGCAATTTTTAATGGCATCCATAGGATCAATAGGGACCACGGAACATCGGATCAGCGTAAAGACTATTGGATGCTGCATCATTAATGCGATCCGTCATTGCTGCTCACCCTCGGGTGAGCGACAGTCGCCAGTTGAAAATAGTGGGGCGACGCAACGACATCTCGGACATGGAAATTCTGCCGTTGTGCTTTAAGTTGTGGACGATAGGCGGTTTTTGGAGACCACTCGATTACTATTCTCCAATGTCAAAATTCTTGTACAACTGTTACAGTTTTGTGAGTTTTCTTGGATTGTACAGTCTGATGTTATTCGAATTCCTGGATATTGTCTTTAATTTCGGAAACTTAGACGATTTTACAAGTATCGCCTTCATGTTTATGACGGTATTAAGTGATTGTTTAAAAGCAGCAAATACCCTAGGAAAACGTTCACGGATAATTGAGATACAAGACATGCTAACCGATGAGACATGCATAGCTCACGATACGGAGGAACAAATGATACTAGAAAGGTCTGCCAAAGTGTGCAGGTAAGTTTTCTTACTAACACTGTACTGTCTTCATTATATTTTTATTTCATATTATTTGACTTACGTAAATGCTGCAGATCGAATACACAATATCTTGGGATATTAATAATGAGTTTTGTTGTATTCCTATTTGTGGGATCATTGCTGTTTAACGTGAATGAGCGCATACTGCCGGTCAAAGTTTGGCTGCCTTACAGTCTCTCATCTTTGACATCATTTTCTCTGTCTTATTTATACCAAATTTGGGTTTCGATGCTGGCCGCATTTATGGCCACGGCAAATGACACGTATATAACTGGATTAATGATCCAGATTTGCGCCCAGCTGGATATCTTGAAATATCGTTTGCTCAGTTTACCAAGATCGGGAGATTCCGAAAGGAATGCAAATTCTTCCGTCAGCCAAAAAGAAATTATTCTCAAAATGTGTATTCGGCATCACAACCATATAATCAAGTTAGTCTGTGAACATGCACAAAGTAGGAACGAATCGTAAAACGAAGAATTCATTTCTTCATAGAGTTGCAGCTACTGTGGAGGAAACCTTCAGTTCCATTATATTTTTTCAATGTTTCGTAAGCACCACCGTCATTTGCGTTGCTACGTTTATACTTTTGAAATCTGACTTCATGAGTGTTGAATTCATCATCACCCTCATGTATTTTCCTCCATTACTATTCGAATTGTTAATATACTGCTGGTATGGGAATGAAGTGACGTTAAAGGTATGTTGATGAACATAGAATTACAATAAATAAAACTGGTTTATACTTAGCAGGTAAATTACAGAGTACCGAAATCAGGGATGCTGTGTTCGAAATGGATTGGATTCCTCTGCCTGTGTCAATGAAAAAGGATTTAATACTTGTTATACTCAGGGCTGGCAGAACAATCAAATTCACCAGTGCATACGTTCTCACTCTGTCTTTGGATTCGTTTATGGCTGTCAGTATTCACACCCATTATTTTTGATGAAGTTACTATTAAATATAAATATGACTTTACAGATTCTCAAATTATCATATTCCGCGTTTAATGTCATGCAACAATCATCAAAAGATTAAAACTGTTTAGTCACTTATACATTTTATACAGGGGATCCCAGAACTACTTTTACACCCGAAAGTGGGTGGTGGCTGAGGGTCCCCCGAGTACATTACCGCAAACCGTTTGTCAAAATTCGCAATAGTTTTTAAATGGGAAGCATTTAATATGCACCAATCAGAACGAAGGATTTCCGCGGGTCATGGCTGCGTTGTGGGAGTTACAGTCGTGTAGGGCAAAAGTTGGCTGCTTCAGACGGATCGCACGTTTAAGAATTCTTTTACGGTCTAAGCGCTATGGATATTCATTCGCAGCTGCCGATATTGGCGTGATGCAACATTGTAAGAACGAATAACGTTTTCTTGGCAGTTCTTATTGTTAGTATGCGTACCACTTACAGCTTCTCGTCAGTTCTTCTCATGAGCGACGTGAGGACGGATAGACTACTTGTTAATGGAACTTTTACATCTGAGTGTTTTTTTGCGATTTTTTATTTTTAGATCAGTGACGTCATGAGCTAAGAGTGTGACATTCCACCAGTCTGTGAACAAATGCGTTTGGCGCTTGGATCGTAAAACAATTGCTAATTGCGCGATCGCGTCCCACCACGCAGCTATGACCCGCAAAAATCCTTCGTTCTGATTGGTGCATATTAAATGCTTCCCATTTAAAAACTATTGCGAATTTTGACAAACGATTTGCAGGAGGGTACTCGGGGGACGTCCAGCCATCACCCACATGCCGGTATAAAGGTAGTTCTGGGACTCCTTTGTATAACTTATAACAGGGTGTCCGATTAGGTAAGTCCTATCTACTTGTTTTTCGGTCATTCCTAGGTCTCCCCTCCAGCTCTGTAATGCCAAGTTATAAGTTGTACATCTGATTGCACTTAATGCGTTGTGTATAAATATTCTTTAAAAAAATAATATTACGAACTGATCATGCTGCACGTTGTCCTTAAAGAGGAATAAAGTACTTCTCAGAAAAATATTTCTTCTCATGCTTTCTGCAAAATGGTTTAATTATGAAAAGGCTAAATGGTACATGGTACGTAGCTAATGTAATTAGATAATACATTTTATATAAAGTTTACCAATAACACAAAGATGTCATAACAATTGAATCATATAAAAAATTAAATCTATTAAAGAGGATTGATTCCTTACCCCATAGCATTGGCCAATCGATGTCATTGAGACGCTGTGTTTCT